TATTTTACATTAAGATGCTGAGGTAAATCTGGCTGGATTTTTTTGTTTCATTTGGGGATGTTTAATATGATTGCTTGGAGTGATGGTACCTGGGAAAAACCACTTGAGGGCGAGTCTAGCATTATGCAACTAAAGCAGGATTAAATCAGAGCTCAGCAGCTGAGTAACTTAATGTAAGAGGCACCTCTCTCTTAAGAGAGCGCGAGGCTTTGTGGTCTGGTATGTGCAGCCGCATCGCCAGAAGCGTCATTTGTGATGCAAGACCGGGCACTGCAAGTCATGAAGTGAAACTTTTGAAAGATCCGACACGTGGACAAAAAGCCTTCCAAGCTTCTGCTTTAGAAGTTTTATTAGCAGAGAGCAGCAGGCTGTTTTTTTGTCCTGGATCACAAACTTGTATTCTCTTCCCTTCTGCCCCCCAGACCGTTGCTTGCCCCAAAGCTGCTCTCTGGAGAGTCCCCTGGAAATGATGAAGACTCGGAGTACATGTCCCCTTCCTCCTTGCCCCTGGTGCCACCTGGCTGTGCTGGACAAAAGTCCGAAGCCAAACTGCCTTTGGAAATGAGTCCAGGTTCACGGTGAGGGAGTTGTTTTATTATACCGCAACGTTGGTGATTTCGATTGAGATCCTAAGTTCCAGAGGCTCTGAGTGGGGAAAGGGGTAGTTACGAGCAAAATCAGCTGGCCTTTGAATTCCCTGCAAGATTGTAAGTTAGAACTGCTTGAGCCCTGCTTTTGAGGCTTAGGGCAGAGTTGGAAAGGCGACCCGATCAAAGGGGTGCTGTTCTCCTGAAGGGTGATAGCCAGGGACCCTTACGGACTCGAACAGCACGTGGGACAAGGAGTTGCATTAAGCAGCCTGTATATCTGTGGTGAAGCTTTGAGCACAATGGTCTCTTCCTGCTGTAGGAGCTGAGTAAGTTCCTGAATCCAATGCCCTTTCTCTTTGCTCAGTGTGTTGGAGTGTGACCAGGAAGTAGAGGGAACTACCTATGAAGCAATGTTCAATATTCAGTCCCAGGCAGCACCATGTTCCTCTGAAGCTGCCAGTGTGTCTGGTAAGTTTCCTGTGAAATGACATTTAGACTAGATTTGTGTTGCAAGCAGCCAAAACCAACCAAGGAACCCGTCTCTCTCTATTTAGAAAAGCACGCTTAAGACAGCGCAAGCGTTCCTACCGGTGCCTTAGCTTTCGTGATCCCTATGCATTTGTGTATGGGTGTCATTCAGCACCATCAACACCTAATTTTCCTTCTCCTGCCCTTTCAGTGGAGGGAGCCGGTTCCTTCTGAGAACGTGGGCCCACGTGCACATGGCAGTGTTTACACAACAGTTGCCATCCTCCGTATGACTCTGAGAATTCATTCTTGCAATTTATAACAGGGAGGAAAAATTACAGGCAGCTCTTCCACCAAACTCTGCTTTTACTCTCTGAGATCTTTGCTTTCCGTGGGATGAAGAAACCGCGGTGTCGGCAAAGATGACCCCGATGTGATTTCCCAGATGCTTTTAGATGGGAAGCTCTTTGTATGTGCGGGGTATCGTAACTTTAATTTCTGTGCAGTTGGTTCAGCTTTGAGGTGTGGGCTTATCAGTGTCCCTCTTGCAAACGCCCTCTCTGAATGGGCCTGCAGGCCAGAGGGGTAAAGGTGTGCTGCTGCTTAATCCTTTTCAGACATGGGCGATACAGTAGCTGATGATCACACCCCCAATGGTCCAGAGGAGTCAGAGAATGAGGAAGGTGGCTATGACATTCCCCGATCATCCACCCACACGGCCACAGCTCGTCACACGCTGTCCGATATCTCCAGTGCAACCCCCTCCTTCAGCCGTGCGTCTCTGGATGGCGAAATTCCAACAGGTGCTTCAGCGTGTCCTTCGGCAGTGTGGCGGGTGGGGCGCCTGTGTCACCCTGTGGGCGGGGCATAAACAATTGAGGACAGAGCTGACGATCTGTCCTCCGCAAAATGTCAAGCAGAAACCCTGGCCATAGATTTTGATAAGGACGCCCTCAAGGCACTCAAGTCTTTGGAGTTGGGTGAGGATGACTGCTGACTTTTGCGCTCTTTCAAGTCCTCACATGCTTTTCCTTTCCTGCCTTTAAGAAAGGGGAGGAATTGGCAGGCATTACAATTTTGAGCTGTTTCATTTCCTTGCGCTTCATCGGGCGTTGCTCAGAAGGCTTGCTGCAGGGATAAGCACCTGAGTGCCACCGTGCCAGCCCTTCAAGGTAGACCAGACTAGGATGCCAGAGTTATGAATGCTAATACTACTTTATTACAAGGTTACAGAAACAGAAACATCCAAGTCTGAATGGGCTTCCCTCCCTCCCTGTATCTTCATGAGAACTAGAGAGGGTCCTGTAGGATATGCTTTCTTAAATTACATTTTTGCCCTGAACTCCGATTTCTTTTATCTGGCTGTTGCCTTGGTTGCGGCTCTTCCTCCTCAAGGCTATTCCTACTACCCATTACACACAACCTTCCCCAGGAGGCAGCTGTAGACCATAGCACTCAGAGATCATTGGTGACTTCCCCTGACTTCCCCTGTGTGGCATTTGTTTGATTTTAAGGTCAGTGGCCAGATAGGGAGCACCACCAGAAATGAAAGTAACTTGTAGACCTGGCCTCAGAAGAGAGCAAGAGGCCTGCCAGTCCAAAATCTCTTCCTCTCAGCCATGTGCTGCTTTCTTTGCAGATGTCTCGGATGTCTCCCAAGTTCCAGAGAGGCCACCGAAACCTTTGCCTCGGAGAATAAACTCTGAACGGAAAGTGGGCAGCTGCCTGCAGGTCAGCGGGGCAGGGCCGGTCCCTGTGGCCTCTCCACAGCTCTCCAGCGAGATCGAGAATCTCATGAGCCAGGGTTACTCGTATCAGGACATCCAGAAAGCCCTGCTCATTGCCCACAACAACATTGACATGGCCAAGAATATTCTCCGGGAATTTGTCTCCGTTTCTTCCCCCACGCATGTGGCTACGTAGCAGCTTTCTCAGCCCTGCCTGAAGCCCCGTGCATCCACCTGCGTGGGCAGTCTCTTGCCCGCATCGGCCTGGAGGAGGTTACAGGCCCCTTGAGGGACTTCCTGCGAAGCTGGGCCTGCCTCTGCTGAGCGTCGGTCGTCAGGGTTTTGTGCAAGTCCAGGTGTTCCAGTGGAGTGAAATGGAGCCGATAGGTGTGTCTTCGGCAGTCTTGTGTATCTCTTTGGGTTCTCCTCTCTTTGCCCACCCGCCCCCTCGCACTTTCTGGTTTGAGAGAACAGACGTGTTAACTTTTGATACCGGTCACCGGTTTCCTTTGCCGGTAGAACGGGGAAGGGCTCGGTCCCCTTGTCCCGTGCTGTGAATTCCAGCCAGAGGCTGAGATGCTGAATGGTCCCTCCCCATCCCTCGCGGTTCAGGATGCCACGCATGGGCCTCTTTTGCTGCTGCATGTTTTGGCTCAGGGTTTTCAAACCCTCTGCTGTCAGGTACCAGTCCTCAATGAAGCGAGAGGTTTCAATGCCTCCTTTCTGCCCCCCTTCCCTTTTCGCCCTTCCTCTGGTTCTGGCTGGCATTTTCAGTGCTCCTTTGGAAGTCGGCCTCTTCCTGATGCCAGCTTTACTTGCCACACACTGGATTCAACGGCATGGTAGATGCTGACAGCTCTCACTTGGGTCAGGGAAGGTGCTTGTGCAGGTGGGGAGTAGAAGCTACTTAGTTTTGCAGCCCCCAACCTTCTGGGCTTTGAAGTTATCCGGGCTGGGTTAGGCCACCACAGCGGTTTCATGACATTCCTGATGTTATGGATGGTCAACGTAGCTGGCCTCTTAGCAGCCTTTAGATGCCCTGTGGCGCTCCCACCCATCCTCTCCTTTTCCTGTAGACCTCGAATTAACACGCCGCCCAGAGCCACTCTTTTGTGAGATGGATGGCTATATAAATATGATCAATAAATAGAGTTAACCGCGAGCAAGGTCCCTTAGACGTTTACAGAAGAAAGTAAAGTACGTAGCACCCCCGGGAATCAATTACCTGCTCAGTAGTAAAAATGCACCCGTTTTGTGTCAGGCGTCTATGGAGCACCTCCAAAGACGGCAATCCTTTTTCCTGGCTTGTTATATCAGGAGCAAAAGGTTAGATCCTTGAAAAGAAACTCTACTGGAAGACTTAACGTTTGGGAAAGGCGCTGACTTTGTGATGCCCTGGTTTAAGCTGTGATGTTGCTTGCTGGCCTGAGTATTTAGGGAAGCGAGAGGATGAGCCTTTTGCAGTCGAGTGAAAAGTCAGCAAGCGGCTTTTTTTCACACGTCTTTCCTCATCTGCTTGCCAGCTTTCAGTGTCATCGGCAGGATGAGAGCACGTGCCCTGGTACGAAAGTGGACATCTTGAGATCCACCGCACGCTTGGGTTCCTTGTTTAAATAGTATTAGTTCCTCTGCCCTAGTGAAATGCAGAGGCCTTACAAGAGGCCAGAGAAGAGAGTTTCTGTGGAGTAACCTTTTCTTCTCGGGAGGTGTCACCTGATGTAGGAAGGTCTTCTCTGGGCAGCAGAAGGCACCAAGAAGGGCTTAGGTGGCCAAGGCTTCACAGAAGCCCAAGCCCCCTCTGGACGTCGGTGATGCCAGTCCAAGCTTGCTGCCTGTGCGTGAATCAAGATGAACTCGTTGAGCCTGGAGGCCTCAGGGAGAGGACTCATGATGTGCATGAGGGAGATGCTGATGGCACCTAGAAGCAGGGAATTGTACATTCCTGCTGCAGGGACAGGATGGGAGACATTTTTTAAAGAGTCGCCATGGCTTTCCTTTTTCCCCCACAGCCTAACAGTTGGTGGAACCCTTTTCTGTTTCTCTCCAGGGTGGTGATTAAATCTGTGTCAATTCAAGAATCAGTTTCTCAAATTCCTTGCAAAACTGAAGAAGCTGTTAGTGTGATCCTGGGGGAATTGTTGAAGCTTCTTGGTGGAAGCGAGTTCTGTGCACTGTTATCAGCCCATGTCCTTGTTAGGGAAGGCATTTGTTTCTCTGTGGGTGCCATTCCACGGATTACATAGACCGGGGTGAGCATTGCAATGCGTGTACCCGACTGGATTCTTCTGCATGCGTGCTTTTATTTCCTTTTCACGTCTTAAATTTCACAAAGATGATTTTTAAGCGTCTCTCTTTAGGAACCACATGAATGTCATAGTTTGGCAAGCACAAGGGAGGTACAGGGAAAAATGCTTCCTGGGGTATGTTCCCTGCTGCTTTTACATTTGACCTTCACCCTCCCCCCCAGTCTCTTAATTTTAAAAAAGGGTTGATTTATTTTACTGAAAGCCAATGTATAGTGCCTTTTTAATAGGGGAAATGCTGTTCTCTCCAAGAACGAATCTGAAGCTAGACCGAAAACTTGACTGCAGAGTCCTGGAGCTCCTCCTTGCGTACAGTAGCTTGCAAGGAAGGAGCAACGGTTGGCCTCAAGCTAGCCTGACCGTGTGTAGCAGCACTCAGCCCCAACAAGCTGTCCTCCCGTAGCCTCGTTAACAACGAAACGCTGGTGTTTCCCGCCCAAAGCTGTACTTGAAGGTGATGGAGCATGGCTGGAAAAATTTAACGTAGCCATGGGAAACACCAACCCTTCCATCATTTGTTTCCTCCTTGAAACAGAGTCCACCGGTCTGGAAGCCAAGTCCAGTTGGCACCTTCAGGGGTATCTAGAGCCTGCCTTGGGCCAAGTTTTGGGGCATCTTCTGCCTTTGGCCTGAAGGGACAGAGCATGGTCCGCTAGAGTTGCCTCTTGGGCACTGTGCTGACGTTTCCATTCATTTCTCCTGTGTGTGTGTGTGTGTGTGGTGTGCATGTGTGTGGCTGGACAAGGAGTTTCCTGTGGATTAAGTATTCAGTGCCTGTTCAGTTCACAGAGAATTTCTTTCCTTACAAGTGTTGCCTCCCTGCATCTTAAAACTGCAGCTGCATTTGGGACATCATCTGTGGTTCTGTAGCTTGCAGCAAACCCTGGAGCAGTGGAATTAACCACGGGTGGCCACGTCCACCCACTGCTGGAGAGTTCCTGTTCTTTAGGACTAAAACTGCAACACGGGGAGAGGTTACGCTAAATTATAAATTATCTTTGCTGGGTAGGAAAGAGTGGTTAATAAGTAGCTTTATTTCTTCTGAAGGTTGAGAACCAATTTAATATTGGTGTTAAAAAAGATCAGATTTTCACTGACTATTTTAAAAGTTATAATATCATTAATATAAAAATATATTAGCAGTATTTAATCCTTTCAGACCTGTAAAGAGTAAGAACAGAAGGTAAATATTCTTACAGAATAGCCGAGCTTTAAGATTCATTTGGGCTAAAGTCCTCATGTTTGTTTTGCAAATGCATTGTTAATGTTTTAGAGGTTATACTAATGTTATTTATTTTTCATTTTTCATTCTGGTAAGGGGCCCACTAAAGAGCTTGGTGGGAGGAGGGGTGGGGGAGTTTAGAGTATTTCATGTGTGTCAATAAAAAGAGAAACAAAAGCAAAAGTTTTATTTTTAAATAAATTTCTTTGTTGTAGCATACGGCTTGTTTGGTGTCCATGTCCATTCCTGTGACAGGGAACTCCTTGTCCCAGGCTGATGCGCAAGTGAGAGCACACTCCAGTTTTAGAAGCTTGAGAATGTTTGTCAGCAGTTTCACATCCTGTGAAAACCAGACCTCAGACCAGACTTTGCTGGTTGATTTGAATGGCCGCGCTCAAAGGTCAAGCTTTGGTCTGGCGTGCACTGCTTGATAATGAGCGGGGCCACCTTCCCAGTGGGCAGACACACATGTGCCAGGAATCCTCTTGCTCCCTCCTCTTAGTGCAGCAGAATTACAAAAAAAAAACTTGAGCCATTCACTGAGTCTTTTTCCTCTCAATGCATACAAGAGACAATTCTTGACGACTTCTTTAGCTTTTTTATTTCTCATTTTTATATATATATTTATATATATATAAAACCCTGCAACTCAGACACTCTTAAATTTACACACACATCAACAAAAAAAATATATATATCAAACAAAAGCTTTCCATTCGGGCATTTTCTGACTTGCATGTAAAGCGCAGCAGCCCCTCTTCTTTTGGTTAACCCTTTTAACCAGGTAGAGTGTTTCTAGCAAGTTCTTTACTATGTGGGGCTCTTCCCCCCAGCCTCAAATTTGGGAAAGGTGAGTAGAGGAAACAGCTGCCAAAAGAAACCCAGGAGAGAAGAGAGCTCGAGTTGTTTTCCGCAGTGGGTCAGGGGTGTTCTTGCCCACCTTAGTGAGATGACTTCTCTGACGTCCACTTGCAAGACAGGCGACATGTTGGAGCAGTTAAATGCAACAGCTTCCTTTGCATTTAGTCTCTGGTAGTGGCAGCTGTTTTTCTTCCTCCGAGCGTCTGAGCTGAACAGAAACCCAAGCACCTCCAATCCCCTTTTCCCTGGTTGCAGTCAAGGGGGAGGTGGGCGCTGCCAAGGGTCTTAGCCAAAAGTATGACAGGAGCTGTGGAATAGAGCGGGGATTTCTTTTGGGCAGAGGGGAGGAGGGGGCTAACTGAAGATCTCTGATAAAAATATGTGACTATACAATTTGTACAAAAAAAAAAAATCCTTTGTTCCGATGTTTTTCAGACTTGGCAACTCTAAGATGTGTGGATTTCAACTCCCAGAATTCTTAAAGTTGCCAAGTTTGAAAAACATGTCCTTATTCCTATCATAAGTAAGAAGCATGGAAAGAACATTTCCCCCAGCAAGATTATGTTGCGTCTTGGGTGTATTCATTTACTAACAGAACAAATTCCCTAAGAAGTGTCCTTAAACAAAAACTTTAAACTTGCTTCCTCCTTTTTCACTCTGAGACCCAAGTCTTCTGTTCAACTTGACCTTCAGCGGTTCTCCATCCTTGCACATACCTTTAAAAGAACATCTTTGCTGACATTCTTACTGGAAACAAAGCCCCTTAGCTGTGCTCCAGCTTTACAAGTTGGGTGTTAAAAGTGTAATCGTTTAATTCTGGCCTGCCTGGCTTGGCCAGTATTGTGCCAACTTAAAACTTTTGTTCCCTTCTAAAACCTGGAATGCAAACACAAAATGTACACTGCACGGCACAGATCTGCCTACCCGCCATCTCCTTAACACAAATGCTCTGAAATAACAATGCATCCAACCACCTTTCCTTTCTTGTCGACTTCTCCGAAAAATCACATCATCCTTGAAAGGACAGAAGGCAAGATTTCCTGGGCCCATCCTGTGCGTCGGTTACTGCATGTCTGAATGACGTGGGTGGGGGGGAATGTTTAAAGGGGGCAGGAGAAAATCTGAAGGAAATGGCCAGCTCTCTCTTCAGTTCCTCAGATCGATGTATTTCTCTCCCTTTTAGAGCAAAGAAAGGAAGACCTTTCATTAGGATCCCAAAAAGCATGCCTTTTTAAAAACATCAGAATTCACCCAGGGCGTTTTCTTATGTTACTTGCACAGGGAGCAAACTGTGTGAATGAGAGCAAGTGACAAGCTTTGAGGCAGAGCAAAGCACATGCTGGAATTTAAGGACTCTCAGCAGAGATTGCAAACAAACCACTCTTCCTTCACCGACAAGGAGAGGACAGAAGGTGCCAAGGGTGCTTTGGGTTCAAAAGGAGCAGTGAAAACGAGGCACGTCTGCAGAATAGGCTTATCTCGTTGCCTGCACTAACTTCATCCCTGTGTTTGCACCCTGTGTTGTTGCCAACTGCCTGGATTCCCACGGCGCAACTTTAAAAAAAAAAAGCCCTTGTGGTGCAAAAAGGTCAGCTAGGTTTCTTCAGCCTGTTCTGTGATCCCAGCCAGGGAGGGTGCCATGAAGCAGTGGCCCGACTGCAGAAAGGCAGAGGTTCAGGGTGAAGGCCCACTTTGTGGATGCAAAGGAAGATGCTGCCTGGCACCTGCTAATAAGCGGCAATGGGATGGGCTAGAACAGTGTTTCTCAGCCTCGGCAACTTTTAAGAGGTGTGCCTTAAAGTTGCCGAGGTTGAGAGACACTGGGCTAGAAGGTCACAGAGGCAAGTGATTTGCAGTCTGTATTAAACTGCCCAGCAGCACCCAAACTTTGGTACAACTAGAGTAAGTTGCAAAGGAGGGTTGGGTGTTTGGGTTTCTGATAGGGCAAGTCAAGGAGGGAAGGCCTCTGACTTGGCCAAGGGGAGAAAAGGATCCAATCCACTAAGAGGGAAACTGCTTGCTGAAAAGCCCATTTGCACCCCGAATGGGCGGCACCAATCCAGAGGGAGGTCCCCGGGATACAGAGGAGGAGGAGGACGCTGCAGGAAAGCAACCCCCCACCCCTTCAGTTGCATCACCTCTCCAGCAGGAGCTGCCTACCTGGTCACCTGGCGATCTCTTCTCACCGTTGGCACCCTGCAGAAGGCCCGCCTCTTCGGGAAGTTTATCTGATTTTACTTCAACTACAATCTCGTCTTTATGTGCTTCGGGCCTTGTGCTGAGGAGGAGGAGGAGGAGGAGGAGGGAGGAGGGCAACAGTGTTGAGACAGATCCAGCTGGGGCTTCGGGAAAGGAATTGTGGGGCGGGGGGCTGTGGGTCAGAGCGGGAGGGGCGTCCTTGTCTCTGCTCCCCATTTCTTCCTCGAGAGGTTAAGCACCACGAGGCACAGCTGCTCGACGCAGGTGAAAGGACGTACAATGGGCCCTCGGCTCAGTTGGACGCTCCGATTATGTCACGGTCGGTGGGGTTGACCCTGGGAGACTGGAGGAAGCGCTGCAGACCGGTCTACCATCGTGCAAAAGGTATCTGGGACTGCAGGAGGAGGCGAGGTGTGGGAAGCATTTCACAAGGGACACTCCCGAGTTTTCCGGAGAATAAAAGGAAAGGAAGGGAGGAATACGTTTAGTCTTGCAAGATTCTATTTATGTCACCTTACGATAAATTTAGAACTAGGATTCATTGTGTTGCTTCTCTGGGCTATCTCAAAGGGCTAATGTCAATCTTGCAAGACTGAACATATTCCTCCCCTCCTTTTAAAACTCGGAAGGGTCCCTTCTGAAATGCTTCCCATGCCTTCCCTCCTCCTGCGGGCCCAGATACCTTTTCCACGACAGTTGTTCGGTCTGCAGCTCTTCCTCCTGTCTCCCGGGGTCATCCCCACCGACCATGACAGATGAAGGGGAGGATGGAGGTTCCTGAATGCTGCCGTGGGGGGACGGGGAGCAGAAGCAGTTCAAGCCACCCGACCCCCCCCTCCCCTGCCATCAGAAGCCGCCTGCTGGGTGCAATGAGATTGGGAAGCGTGTG